GGGGTGACAGGGGACCGTGGGGGGACAGGGGACCGGGGGGTGACAGGGGACCGGGGGATGGCAGGGGACCGGGGGGTGACACAGGGTCCCCGTCCCCGCACAGCAGCGCCACACACGCTGCATAGAACCCGCTGGGGTCCACCTGGGGGGTGGAGCAGCAGTGAGAATCCTCCAAGACCCCTCAGAATGTCCCAGAAGACCCCAGAACATCCCAGGACCTCCCTCCGGATGAAGCCCCTGGAATTTCCCAGACCTTCCAGGACCTCCCGGAATCCCTGGGGACCCCCAGGACACCCCAGGACTCTTTGCCCCGTTGACCCCCTGGGATTTTGCAGAACCCCACAGGAAGTTCCAAAACTCCCCAGGACTCTCTGGAATCCCCTGGGACCCTCCCAAACCCCCCAGAAGCCCCTGGGAGCCCCCAGGACATCCCAGAACAACTCTGGGATCCCCAGAACTCCCAGCAGCCTCCCGGAACTTCCCGGGCCAGTCCTGGGACCTGGGACAGCCTATGGATCCCCTAGAACATTCCAGAACCTTTCAGGACCCTCCGAGACGCCCCCCGGGACACCCCAAGCCCCCCTGGTGCCGCTGACCTCGCCGTGGCACTGCCGGAAGGGCTGGGCCAGCAGCCGCCCGCACGTGGCCACCGCCGCTGCCACCTCGCCGGGGCCACACCTGCCGCCACCCTCCGGCACGTCCCTGCACGGGGGCTGAGCCGGGGGTCCCTCAGCGCGGGGGCCACCCCCGGGGACCCCCAGACGGGCACGGGGTGTCACCCTGGCCCCTCAGGTACCTCTGTGCCGGCCACCGGCACCTTCCAGGCGTTGCCGAAGGCGGCGGCGACGGCAGCGATGTCCCCGTCGGGGAGCAGGAAGTCATCTGGGGGGACAGGCAGGGTGGGGGCACGGGGGGTGTCCCCCGGCCCCCCGGGGCGGGGGGTGGCACTGGGCGTGTGGGACTCACCTGCAGGGTCGTCGGTGTAGGTGCCACAGAGCCCCCAGGTGCCACCGCGCAGCTCGGGCTCCGCTGTCACTGTCACCGCCAGGTGCCCGTCCCAGGCCACCCGCACACCCAGGCTGCTGGCCACGGCCACCCAGTCACCCGGCCAGGTGACACCGAGCCCTGTGCGAGGGGATGGGGCGGGATGGGGACAGGATGGGGACAGGGATCCCAGTGGCAGTTGGTTATCACCGTGCCCTGGTGCTTCCTGATGGTTCTGGGGGCTCATCCTCGCCCTGTCCCAGGCTGGTGGCCTTGGGGACCTCACCTTTGTGCAGGTAGGGGCGTCCCTCCGGCACTGCTGCCCCATTCACCGACACGTTCCGTCCCTGGGCCACCACCGTGTCTGTCCCAAAGGTCATGTGCAGCACCTGTGGCAGGGGGGTGGCACAGGGACACTCAGGCATGCCGGGGACAGCGGGCATGGGGATGGGACACTCATGGTCACCAGGGATGGAACCATGGGTGTGCCATCCCAGATCCTGTCTCAAACCCCATTTCAGGTCCCAAACTCATCCCAGCCCCCAAACCCATTCCAGCTCCCATCCCAGCTGCCAGTTCCCACCCCAGTTCCCCTCCCATCACCCATCCCAGCTCCCAGCCCCATTGCACCTCTGGGAACAGGAGCAGTGACCCCAAGTGTCCCATCCTGTCCCCCCTTTTCAGTGTTTGGGTGTCTGATGGTGACATCCCAGGCGCTGTCACCCGTCCCTGCTCCCGACATCCATCCCAGCCCCATTCCGCGCTGGCAGTGACTCTGATCGCCCCCCCTGTGCCCCCCTGCCCGTGCCCGGTACCTGGGGGTGTCCCAGACCGATGGTGACGTCCCAGGTGCCGTCGGTGGCCGTGGCCAGGCTGTGCCGGCAGCCCCCCGAGAGGCCGAAGTGCCGCCCGTCGAAGGTGCGGAAGCGCGAGCCGGCCCAGGCCTGGCACGTGGCCGGGGGGCTGCGGTGCCGCGGGGACCCCCCGTCCCCGCCCAGGGGCAGGCGGGTGCAGGGCAGGCAGGGCCCCTCGGTGTCCCCGCGGCGCCAGCTGTGTCCCCAGGGGTGCTGGCAGCACTCGGCGCGGCTCATGGCGCTGCCGTTGTGGCCGCCGGCGCTGTCCTGGCACTGCCACGCGCTGAAACAGCGGCCCAGGGAGCCGGGGCCTGTGGGAGGGGACAGCGGGTGACACCGAGGGGCACAGGGGGATGGCACACAGCCCAGCGCCCACCCAGCACCCAGGGGGAATGGCACAGTGAGGGTGTCACACTGGGAATGACGTGGTGGGAATGACACGTCCCAGTTGCCATCTCAGCTCCCAGTTGCCATCCCAACTCCCAGTTCCCGTCCTGGCTCTCAGTTCCCATCCCAGCACCAGTCCCAGCTCCCAGTTCCCATCCCGACTCCCAGTTCCCATCCCAGCACCAGTCCCAGATCCCGGTCCCCAACCCAGCTCCCAGTTCCCATCCCAGCTCCCAGTTCCCATCCCAGATCCCAGTTCCCATCCCAGATTCCATCCCAGTTCCCGGTTCCCATCCCAGATTCCATCCCAGCTCCCATCCTGGCACCCAGCCCTGCTCCCAGCACCCGCTGGGAATGGCACGGTGGGAATGACTCAGTGGGAATGGCACGGTGGGAGTGACGCCCATCCCAGCTCCCGGTGGGAATGGCGCAGCAGGGATGTCCCCGGGTGCCACCCCCGTGTCCCAACTCACCCTCGGTGCAGCGGGCGCCGCTCCAGCCGGGACAGCAGCCACGCTCCGTGCGGTTCCGGACCACCGGCTGCATCTCCGGGGGGCTGTGGGGACACGCCAGTGTCACCCAGCGTCCCCCGGTGCCAGCCGGTGCCACACCCCGCGGGCTCACCGGTAGACGTAGCAGAGGGCGGGGTCGGTGCCGGTGTCCCCGGGGGAATTCCCGCGCTCCCGGCGCGTGCGGTCCCGGTCCAGCCGCCACCCGGCCAGGCTGTACTGGTACAAACTGGGACACGGCACCGCGGCCTCGCGCCGCGGCGTCACCTCCTGCTGCTCCGTCACCGGCACCGTCCGCTCGCACCAGCGCCTGCGGGCAGCCGCGGGATCCGCCCGGGATCCGCCCGGGACCCGCCCGGGATCCATCCGGGACCCAGCACAATCCCAGCACAATCCCAGCTCCAGCCCAGCTCCCATCTGGCACCCCCATCCATCCCCCCTCCGGGCACACATCCCAGCTCCCAGCCTCCATGTGAGCACCCACCAGGGATCCATCCTGGCTTCTGGCACCGATCCCAGTTCCCATCCCAGTTCCCACCCAGCTCCCACCCAGCTCCCATCCCTGTTCCCACCCAGCTCCCACCCAGCTCCCACCCAGCTCCCATCCCAGTTCCCATCCCAGCTCCCATCCCTGTTCCCACCCAGCTCCCACCCAGCTCCCATCCCAGTTCCCATCCCAGTTCCCATCCCAGTTCCCATCCCAGTTCCCATCCCAGTTCCCATCCCAGTTCCCATCCCAGTTCCCATCCCAGCTCCCATCCCAGCTCCCATCCCAGTTCCCATCCCAGTTCCCATCCCAGTTCCCATCCCAGCTCCCACCCAGCTCCCATCCCAGCTCCTGCCTCCCAACCCCCATTCCCAGTTCCAGCCCCTGATCTCCATTTTGCGTCCCCAATTCCCAGTTCTCTTTTCCAGCTCCCAAATCCATTCCCATTCCCATTCCCCATCCCCATTCCCATCCCCCATCCCCACTCCCATTCTGCCTTTCCATTCCCCATCCCATTCCCAGTTTCCCATCCCCAATCCCCATTCCCGTTCCTCACCCCGTGGCTGCCCCCACGGCTGTCACCCAGAGCATGGCGATGGCCGCCACCCCCCCGGTGACCCCCGGCCTCGCCGCTGCGGCCATGTCGGATCCCAGTTTCCTGGAAAATTGGGATCCAGGTGACTCCCTGTCACAATTCCCGGGGGGTCCTCACGGCCAGAGGGTCCCACGGGGTCACCCCAGTGTCACCCCCCCAGTGCCACTCACCGGCCCAGCTCTGGCACTGCCCAGCGGCTCCGGGATTTATGGGAAGTCCCCAGCAGTGCCACCAGCTGTGGTGACGCCGATTGGGCACAGCTGGCGGCTGGGGGGGCACGGTGACATCAGGGTGACATCTCCCCGTTTCCTGGGAGAAGGTAATGGCACGGGACATCCGGGATCCGGCACGGGGACACGGATGTGGCAGGACAGCGGGTCCTGGTCACGCTCACCCCCCGTGTCCCCACGTCCCTGTCGCGTGTCCCCTTGTGTCCTGCCTGTGTCCCCTGTACCCCCCATTCCTCCATGTCCCTGTCGCTTGTCCCCTCATGTCTCTTGTGTCCTCCCAGCCCCGTGTCCCCCACAGCCCGCTCCTGTGTTCTCCCGTGTCCCCCCCGCATCGTGTCCTCGGTGTCTCCCCCCGTGTCCTCCGTGTCTCCCCCGTGTCCCCTCCGTGCCCCCGTGTCCCACCCGTGTCCTTGCCCATTGTTCTCCCCATGTCTCCCTGAGTGTCCCCAAGTCCTCTGGTGTCCTCATGTCCCTGTCCCGTGTCCCCATGCCGCCCCCATGCTGTCCCCGACCCTGCCGTGTCCGTGTCCCCTCCGAGGGGGACAGCCGGTGCGGCACTGGGGTGCAGGACAGGGGGACACGGGTGACACGGGGCGCACGGGGGGTGCAGGACAAGGGCGGACGGAGAACGGGGGTGGGGTGGCCGTGAGCTCCGGGGGGACCAGGACGGGGACGCCACTCCACGGGAACCCCGCGGAACACCCCCGAGCCCCGCGGAATCCCACGAGACCCCCCCCCGGATTCCTGCGAACCCCGCCTGACCCCCCTGAACCCGCCTGGATTGCCCCCGAACCCCTCCAGACCCCCCCGGACCCACCAGGCAGGAGAGTGTCCACCCCCACCGTGCCCTGGGGACGTGCCCGGGGGTCCTGGGGATCCTGAAGCCCCCGGGCGTGCAGGGGTTCCCCGGCTCGGGTCTGGGGACGCTCACCCCGTGCCCCCCCACCGCAGGTGCCCCCGTGGCCCGGACGGAGCCGGAGGAGATGGAAGCACCGGCATGCACCGGCTCAGGTGGGGACTGGGGGATTCCGGGGGGTCTCGGTGGGGCCCGCGGGGTCCCGGGGTGCTCGGGGCCCCCCTGAGCCGGGGAGAGACCTGTCTGTGCCTCTTTGTCCCCCCAGAGTGGCTGGTGGTCCCCAAGGCAGAGGTGACCCCCGAGGATGACAGGGATGATCCAGGGGACCCAGGGCTCCACGACTCAGGTGAGGGACAGTCACATCGGCAGTGCCAGGCGTCTCCCGGGAGCGCTGCGGCCACGCGGTCACTGTCACCCTGTCCTGCGGCTGGTGGCAGCGCTGGCTCCCTGGGGGATGGTCACCGTGTCCCCGGGGCCAGTGACTATGCCAGGTCCTTGAAGTGACGGTCAGCACGTCCCTGGTGCCATTGGCCTTGGTGGTCACCGGGTGCCAGTGGCAGCTCCACGCCCTTGGGTGACAGTTCCCGTGTCCCGGGGGCTGTGCCGGGTCACCCTGGCGTTGGCACGTCCCCTCCGGTGTCCCTGCAGGGCAGTGGCTGGTGCGGAAGGTGAAGGTGGAGGAGGAGGAGGATGAGGCCGAGGCCCCGCAGCCCCTGCCCGGCGCCTTCCCCCCCGGCCCCGCCGGGAGCTGCGCCGGCGCCTGCAAGGCGGAGGAGCCGTGCCCGGAGGACCTGGGCTACGGGGTGCTGCCGGCCTGGGGGCCCGGGCCGCGCCTGGACGCCATCGGGATCGGCTTCGGGGCGGGCACCGGCACCGGCACGGGCGCGGGGATGAGCCCCGGCCCCGGCGGCTGCGGGCGCTGCTCGCAGCCCGGCCCGCGGCCGTTCTGCTGCCCGCAGTGCGGGAAGGCCTTCGGGAAGAAGGCGCACCTGACGCGGCACCTGCGGGTGCACACGGGCGAGCGGCCCTTCCCGTGCCCGCACTGCGGCCGCCGCTTCCGCCAGCGCATCCACCTGCGCTCGCACCTGCGCACGCACACCGGCGAGCGGCCCTACCCCTGCCCGCGCTGCGCCCGCCGCTTCCGCAAGAAAACGCACCTGGACCGGCACCTGCGCACGCACACCGGCGAGCGCCCGCACCCCTGCCCGCGCTGCGCCCGCCGCTTCGCCCACCGCCAGCACCTCCTGCGGCACCTGCGCCTGCACGGGGACCCGGCCCCGGGACACGGGCAGCGCGACGGGCACGGGGATGGGCACGGCCCCGCCGAGGAGAAGCCGCTGCCGTGCCCGGGCTGTGAGATGAGCCTCACCTGGAAGCAGAACCCGGCGCCGCAGCTGGGGCTGCACGCGGGACCCGTGCCGGGAGCTGGGAATGGACACCTGGACGAGCAGCGGGACGGGGACAGGGACAGGGACGGCCCCGCCGAGGAGCAGCTGCTCATTTGCCCCCAGTGCGGCACGGGCATCGCCTGGAAGCAGAACTCGTCGTCGCACCTGTGGCAGCAGCTGGAGAGCCAAGCCCTCGGCTGTGCCCAGCACCCCCTGCAGCCCCCGCAGCAGCCCGGAGCCCAGGACCCCCCGCACCCCCCGCAGGTGCCCACGGCCGAGCCCCCCTTCGTGCAGGACCCCCAGCTCCTGTCGCAGGTGCCCAGTGCCAACTGCAGCCGCGGCTGCGCCCAGGACCCCCCGCCCCTCCTGCAGCCCCCGCAAGTGCCCGGCGCCCAGGACCACCAGCAGCGGCCGCAGGTGCCCGGTGCCAAAAGCGGCCAGGGCTGTGCCCAGGACCCTCAGGACCCCCCGCAGGCGCCCCCCGCCCAGCGCCCCTTCACCTGCCCACAGTGCGGGCGCGGCTTCGGGCGCAAGGCGCACCTGGCGCGGCACCTGCTGGTGCACTCGGGCACCCGGCCCCACGCCTGTGCCCGCTGCGGCCGCCGCTTCAGCTCCAAGACCAACCTGGGCCGGCACCAGGCCGTGCACACGGGGCTGCGGCCCCACCACTGCGCCCGCTGCGGCCGGGGCTTCACCCGCAAAACGCACCTGGAGCGCCACGAGCGCACCCACGGCACCGGCATGGGCACGGGGGCGGGCACGGGGGCGGGCACGGCCACCACCGGGGCGGGGATGGGCACAGCCACCGCTGCCACTGGCACCGGTGTCACGGGGTCCCAGCTGAGCTGGCCAGAGCCCCCCACCCTGTGCCCCTGAGCCCCGGAGGTGCCAGGGGCTGCGGTGGATGCCGGTGGTGAATCCTTGGCACTGGCGTGTCAGGAGGTGCTGGGAGGTGCCACGGGCCCTGATGGCTGCCGGTGGTGGGTCCTGGCACTGGGATGTGCCAGGGGACCGGTGGCTGCCACTGGCACGTCCTGAGCGCTGGGAAGTGCCGGGTTCCCCCGTGGCTGCCAGCGCTGCATCCTTGGCACCGGGCTGTGCTGGGCTGTGCCGGTGCCTGCAGCAGCGCCGGTGGTGACCCCCGGCCCTGGGACGTGCCGGGATGTGCCGGTGCCACATCCTGAGCGCCGGGATGTGCCGGGATGTGCCGGTGCCACATCCTGAGCGCCGGGATGTGCCGGGGCCGGTGGTGACCCCCAGCCCTGGGACGTGCCGGAAGGTGCCGGGATGTGCCGGTGCCACATCCTGAGCGCCGGGATGTGCCGGGGGCCCCGGCAGGGGGATCCCACAGGGTCCCACAGGATCCCGCCCGTTCTGCCGCCGGCAGCAGCCGCCGGAGCGTTGTGTCCGGTGGCGCTGGAGAGCCCCCGGTGAGGGACGCGGGGGGACACAGGAGGGGTGTCCCCAGCGCGGCGCGGCCGTGGGCAGGGGGCAGGGGCAGCGGAGTGGAGCCCAGCTGCCAATAAAGCCGTTTTTATGGAACTTCCCGGAGCCGCGGGGTCTCGGGCCCGGCGGAGGGGCCGGGGTCGCCGGGGGGCGTGGCCCGGAGGAAGGGGTGTGGCCAAACGAGGGGGCGCGATAGGGGCGTGGCCTTGCTGTGGGCGGGACCTCGTCCCTATGGAAACGGGGGCGGGATCTCGTCCCCATGGCAACGGGGGGCGGGGCCTCGGGGGCCGCCGGGAGCCGCCGTGCGGTGAGAGCCCCACCACTGCGCCCGCTGCGGCCGGGGCTTCACCCGCAAAACGCACCTGGAGCGCCACGAGCGCACCCACGGCACCGGCATGGGCACGGGGGCGGGCACGGGGGCGGGCACGGCCACCACCGGGGCGGGGATGGGCACAGCCACCGCTGCCACTGGCACCGGTGTCACGGGGTCCCAGCTGAGCTGGCCAGAGCCCCCCACCCTGTGCCCCTGAGCCCCGGAGGTGCCAGGGGCTGCGGTGGATGCCGGTGGTGAATCCTTGGCACTGGCGTGTCAGGAGGTGCTGGGAGGTGCCACGGGCCCTGATGGCTGCCGGTGGTGGGTCCTGGCACTGGGATGTGCCAGGGGACCGGTGGCTGCCACTGGCACGTCCTGAGCGCTGGGAAGTGCCGGGTTCCCCCGTGGCTGCCAGCGCTGCATCCTTGGCACCGGGCTGTGCTGGGCTGTGCCGGTGCCTGCAGCAGCGCCGGTGGTGACCCCCGGCCCTGGGACGTGCCGGGATGTGCCGGTGCCACATCCTGAGCGCCGGGATGTGCCGGGGCCGGTGGTGACCCCCAGCCCTGGGACGTGCCGGAAGGTGCCGGGATGTGCCGGTGCCACATCCTGAGCGCCGGGATGTGCCGGGGGCCCCGGCAGGGGGATCCCACAGGGTCCCACAGGATCCCGCCCGTTCTGCCGCCGGCAGCAGCCGCCGGAGCGTTGTGTCCGGTGGGGCTGGAGAGCCCCCGGTGAGGGACGCGGGGGGACACAGGAGGGGTGTCCCCAGCGCGGCGCGGCCGTGGGCAGGGGGCAGGGGCAGCGGAGTGGAGCCCAGCTGCCAATAAAGCCGTTTTTATGGAACTTCCCGGAGCCGCGGGGTCTCGGGCCCGGCGGAGGGGCCGGGGTCGCCGGGGGGCGTGGCCCGGAGGAAGGGGTGTGGCCAAACGAGGGGGCGCGATAGGGGCGTGGCCTTGCTGTGGGCGGGACCTCGTCCCTATGGAAACGGGGGCGGGATCTCGTCCCCATGGCAACGGGGGGCGGGGCCTCGGGGGCCGCCGGGAGCCGCCGTGCGGTGAGAGCGGGGGGG